TGGCTGCTAAAGAAATGCATCAGTAAATAAGAGCTCATCAGTCAGAGGCAGGGCTAGGATGTGTGCGACGTGGCTTCCCTGCTTTGAGGTTCTGAGTGAGGTCGGATTTTCTGAAAGATGGAACATGCAGGTTGTGTCATCCTGTCCGTCCGCATCAGTCTGTTTAGCCCGCCCGGTTTCTGACTGTAACGGTGGGTTAGTGAAAGTGAAGGTTTCTCAGTCCTGTCCGACTCTGTGACCCTGTGGACTGTATAGTCCATGGAATTCTCCAGGCCAGAATACTGGAGTGGGTGGCCTCTCTCTCCTCCAGGGGATCTTCCCAACCCAGGGATCGAACCCAGGTCTCCTGCATTGCAGGCAAATTCTTTCTTTACCAGCTGAGCCACAAGGGAAGCCCTGCAGTGGGTTAGGGATATGCTTTTTTTCCCCCTTAAATGTTTTCCTTCAGAGATCTTTGCTGGTCAGGGCACATTCACACCACATGAGGGATGAATGACCATGTGCCCCGGCCTCCTCCGCGAAGACACCCACACGATGCCAAACCGGGCCCAGCTCACCCATCAGGGCTTGGCAAGCATCTGCTGGGTGTGGGGTGTCACAGGTGGATCTCTTTTCCAGCCGGCAGCCTCCTCCAAACAGAACCGGTTTTATTCAGAACCACCCCCGCCTCCTCACAGTGTCTGACACCCGCCCTCTGCCCCACGCTGGAGTGATCCTTGGGGCTCGGTGGTTGGTTCAGGACTGGATGTGTGACCTGGTTCAGGCCAGTGAAATTCGGGGAGTTCCCTGGGAAGTTCTAGGATGTCCACCCCTGTTCGCCTGGGAAAGATCTAGAAGCAGTGTGTTGTGGTCCTTGTGGAGACGCTGCAGGAATGTGCCACCGTCTCCCCTCGGGGCCAGGAGGGCACGGCTGGGCGCCCATGCCAGCCCTGCCCTGCGTTTCCAGTCCTCTGAGTCAGGACAGGTCCTGCTGGTTTTTAAACCAGCCTGAGTTCGAGTTTCTGATGCTTGTAGATAAAGATACCACAGCTGAACCAAAGACAGGATTTTATAAAAACATGTTAGTTTAATTGCCAATAAATAACATTGTGTACTTTATCTTCAGTGTTACTTAAATTTCAGTGAAGAATGTACCATAAAGTTAAGAGGAAGAAAAGGCAAATGAGATGACTAAAATCAGATAACATCCCGCCAGCAGAGATGATGACGGAAGGCTTTCAGTTAGGTGAGCCATCTGGATGAAGTCAGAATTGCTCTTAGCAACACAGGGGTGTAATTTCAGCTCATTACCTTAGTAGAAACTATAAGGTTTCTAGTTTTGATTTGAAAAGCTCCCTGATGAAACCCTCTTGTTTCAGCCATGTGGGATGTTTAATTAGGGAAGATCCACCCGCGTGAGCTCCCCAGGTGGCTCAGTGATAAGGAAGCCAGCTGCCAGTGCAGGAGCTGCGGGTTCAATACCTGGGTCGGGAAGATCCGCTGGAGAAGGAAATAACAACCCACTCTAGTATCCTTGCATGGAGAATCCCACGGACAGAGGAGCCTGGTGGCTATAGTCCATGGGGTCGCAAAAAAGTTGGGACATGACTTAGCAACTAAACAACCACCACCCTCACGAATACGTTTTGTCAGAAGGCCTTGAAGGCCAAGGTCTGCCCTTGGCTGCGTCTGGCTTGGGTTCGAGGAAGTCTTGCTCTCCTTGCCCTCTGTCCCCAGCTCCTCCCAGGCGGTGGGAGACACTGCCGAGGCTGAGGTGCTGAGTGCCCAGACTCTGTGACCCAGGCCTGCCCTCTTCGGCTCGCGCGTCCGTGGCCCTGCCTCGGGAGGGGCAGCGGGGTTACCGCCCAAGACTACATCGCGGCCATCGTGTTCGGGGACGTGGTCACACCATCCATTCTGGGCATTGGCTTCGTGATGCCCACTGCAGCACCAGGTCCGGCCAGTGGCTGACTGCCCCGAGGGGAAAATAAAGGTTGACTAAAAGCGAGATGTTTTCCTAGGCAAGCATGCACATAAAAAAGGCTTTTTCGGCGTCTCCTGTCTTTTCTGGACCCTTCGCCGGAACGCGGGTCTCCTGCTTCCTCGCCTCCATCTCCGCCCAGTCCAGCGGTGCCAGGGGCTGGGGTCCTGGGTCCCGGCGCGCAGCGTCCGAGCAGCCCCTTCCTTGGGATCCTCAGCCTCCGGGGTGGGCTGTGAGCAGATCCTCCTTCCCGTTTCTCTCTGGCGGTTGGCTGTTGTTGCATAATGATTGTCTCCAGAGATGGGGCGGATTTCTGCAGACCTGCGCACATCGTCCCTCAGGGAGAGAGGCAGCCGTGTCTGTTATCTCAGGACTTCCTGCCTTCGTGCCCTCCGCGAGGCCCGATGGTGTCTGTGTTCTAAAATGTGACCCCTCAGTAAGTCGTTCTAGTAGAAGGTAGCTTTGGGAATTTAAAAGCTGTTTTCTTATCAAATTATTTTTCAAATCTTAGGGTTTTTTTTTTTTTTTTCAGTTACTGCTTTTGTTTGAATCGTGTGGTGGTTTTGGTGTTGAAAATTGGTGTTCATCACAACTTCTGAAGGGGGAGAGTTGATGTTTTACATCAAGAATTAATGATCCTTGGGTTTGTCTTACAAACGCAGTTTTAAATGTTGTGTCTCGGTGGTGGGCGTCCGCAGGTGGTCTCCAGGTCACACTTGTTGGCTTCCCAAGAGTGATGCCCGCAGGGTGAGGCAGAGCGCCTGGGTCGTGCAGACCTGGGTCGAGAAAGTGCTTACTGAGCCCTGTGGGCCTCAGCCTCCTCATCTGTGAAGTGGGGCGGCAACTGTGTCCCAGTTGTCCTGAGGGTGGAGGCGTTTCAGGCGGGCATTGTGACGGGTGGTCCCGGACTTTCCCGGCTGTGAGAACCTGGCTGACTGCTTGCCCCTGCTTGCCTGTGACAACTCTGTTTTATGTTGACTGTCCTGGCATAATTATTAATAGAGCCTCCTTTTGCTCTCAGAAATATCCCAATATGGATAATGATTTTCTTGTCAGTGTAGTTAGAAAACCCAGAAATGAATTTTTTTTTTATATTTACTTTTGGCTGCGTTGGGTCTTGGTTGCTGAAAGCAGGCTCTTTTCTTGCGGCGTGTGGGCTTACTTGCTGCTGGGCATGTGGGATCATAGTTCCCTGACCAGGGATCAAACCTGTGTCCCCGGTATTGGAAGGAGGATTCTTAACCACTGGACACCAGGGAAGTCCTCCCAGAAGTGTTTTTAAGCCCCGATGAGCGTAAGAAATAATTCTGTCTTTTGTCACGCCTCCTCCCATCCCTCGCTTTGCCTCTCACTCTGAGAAGTGGGCAGTGGTTCCCAGTTACAGGTAGAAACGCGACTGGCGGGGGAGCAGCCAGCCCAGATCTGTGCTGCGGCCACCGTGTTTCTGCCGAAAGGAGCTGCCTCACCCCGGCGGAGGCCATCGTCCAGCGTGGACCCGCTCTGTTGCAGGGACCATCTGTAATCCGGGACCGCGGAAGTCCATGTCCAAGCTGCTCTACGTGCGCCTGGCGCTCTTCCTGCCAGAGATGGTCTGGGCGTCCCTGGGGGCCGCCTGGATCGCGGACGGCGTTCAGTGTGACCGGACTGTGGGCAGCGGCATCATCGCAACTGTCGTGGTCAGGTGAGGTCCCGTCTCCTCCTGCGGGCCCTCGTCTGAGGTGCTGTCCAGGTGGGGTCCCTGCAGGTGGCCCGCTGGCGTGCAGGCTCCCTGAAGTAGTTAGGCGAGTTCGAGGAACGGTTCATGGCCCAGCACGCACTTCGGCTGTACTTCCCTTCCTCACCAGCTGCTGTTTTTCTGCATGCCCTCTGGCCCCTCACCAGAGGGAAGAAGCCCAGAGACCAAAGCAGGGCGGAAACTACACGTGGGATGAGAAGAGCAGGGTGCGGACCTGCCGCAGGGCACAATCTGCTGGAGTGAGGCGTTTGCCTTTTCCAGCTAAATACCGTAGAGATGAGCTAGTCCTGCCCCGCGGGCTGCGAATCAGGGGCGGGGTCTCCCGCCGCACTGCCGAGTCTTTCCCGGGTCACCTTCCTGGAGCACGGACGCTCAGGCACCCACCGCGCCCTGTGCATCTGGGCAGCCTGGAAGTATTGAAACGTATGGATGAAAGGGCTTCCCAGGTGGCGCTAGTGGTAAAGAATCTGCCTGCCTATGTAGGAGACTCAGGAGACACTGATTCGATCCCTGGATCGGGAAGATCCCCTGGAGGAGGAAATGGCAACCCACTCCAGTATTCTTGCCTGGAGAATCCCATGGACAGAGGAGCCTGGTGGACTGCCATCCATGGGGTCCCAAAGAGTTGGACACAGCTGAAGCGACTGGGTGCAGTGTGTGGGTGAAAGCTGTTGGAGCGTGGCCCGAGCGCAGGAAGCTTCCTCTGGTTTTGCCGAGTGGAGCCCCGGGGCCCTGGGGGTAAACCCGGTCAAGGGTCATGGGCAGGGCCTCTGGGCCGGGCCGTGGCTCTGTCCACCACGCAGCCCCCTTTCCTTCTGTGGCTCTGGGGGCTCCGTTCGTCACCAGGCCTTGGTTGGCTGTGGGCTCATAGGAACTTTCTCGAGAACCGAGTTGCCCGCCCCAGCCAGCTCCCCATCTTCCTCGGTAGTTGGAGCCCCAGCTTCCCCGAGACAGCAGGAGGCCCCCGCGAGGGCACCCCGGCCCCGCACGGCTGAGGGGCTGCAGGACCCGGGCCTCAGCCTTCCCCCCACCGCCCTGCAGCTGGCTCATCATCGCCTCCACCGTGCTCACCATCCTCATCGTCTTCGACCCGCTGGGGGGCAGGGCGGCCCCGGGCACCCCCCTGGGCCCCCAGCCCCTGGACAGCCATGAGTCCAGCCAGCTGCTGAGCGGCCTCAGGACGGCGGCGACCGGCGTGTGGGAGACGCGAGTCAGGCTGCTCTGCTGCTGTGTCGGCCGGGACGACCACACTCGCGTCGCCTTTTCGAGTACGGCAGAACTTTTCTCAACCTACTTTTCAGTAAGCCACCGGGGTCTGCTCTGGTCTCCTCCTCCTGTTACGTGAACGCTTCTTTGGGGCAGATGAGTTCTCCGCGTCCCGAGCCCGTCTCCCTGTCGACAGAACGTAGCTCCTGAGGGCAAGTCCTCTGGGGGTGATGGGGAGCAGGTGGGGGGCTCCCTGTCACCGCCAGGAGGAGAGGCTCACATCAGGCTCTGCACACTGACTCTGGGCCTTCCCAGTCTGGGGTCTTTTTAGGCTGGCCCTGCCTGGCGAGTGAGCGCCCCGGCTCGTCAGCCTCTGCCATGGGCCCTCTCAACAAGACCTTCCCAGCATCTTGAGCAGCCAGGGTGTAAACGGGACTAGCATTGTATGTTACTACAAACAGGGCACATTTGCCCGCTTTATGGGCATGTGTTGTAGGTTAAAAACAGCTGTCACTTAAGTGAAATCTGAGTAGGAATCAATAATATGTTCTTGAGTGGGTTTCGTCTGAGAGCAGGAGAGTAAGAAACATGAGGCAGGCATCCTGAAAGGGACGTAGTTTCAAAAACACCCATTCACTTGTGTCTGTTTGTGTGTGTGCACGCGAGTTGCGTAAGCTGGGCTCTCGGGGACTCGTGGCCATTGCTGCTGGGCGGGTGGTGAGCTGCAGTGGTTCCCCATCCAGGACACAGACCTGGTGCCCAGCGACATCGCGGCCGGCCTTGCCCTCCTCCATCAGCAGCAGGACCACGCCCAGAGCTCACCGGAGCCCACCGAGGTCGTCACCCACTCCCCCGGGCCCTTCCAGGTAAGCCCGCATTTCTGTTGGGTTGTGCCCTTTTGACTTTTATACCTATTTGTAAATTTTTTAAAAAGTTTCAGGAACAGTTGATTGGCATCTTGATGTGTTGATTTGCCAGTTGTGGTTTGGCGCCAGTTGCGAGGCCCCCCCGCATCCACTGGCCTTCAGGTAGGGGGAGCGGACTCCTGGCCAGTTTACCACCTGTCATTTGTTTCTTTTTCCCCCCAAACATTCTCTTTTAGGAAATTGCCTGTTGTCTGCACATCAAAAGTTCCTTCTGGGATGGGACCAGGTTCTCCCAGAGTGCATGCACTCTTTTCTCTGAGCCTGGAGAGCAGTTCAGCTTTGTTTGATGGTTGCTTTCCTGCCACAGATTTCTATGCTTTTGAAAGAGAAAATTGCCCAAGGATCATTTGTCTGTCTCATTGTTCATTCAAGCCCCTGGTTCCCAGCAGCCCCTTTGCTACACGTGGTGTCTGCACGTGCATCCAGCAGGAAGTCACGGGCTTATTTCACCAGCGTTGCAAAGTCACTAGGGATTTTTGCTGCTAACTTGTGCATTCTTCTAAATGAGGGGTCTGGACTTCCCCTGGCAGTCCAGCAGTTAAAACCCTCTGCTCCCACTGCAGGGGCCCTGGGTTCGATCCTAGTCAGGGAACTAGAATCCCACATACCACATAGCACAGCCAAAAAAATGAGGGGGTTCTGTCTGTCTGTATTCAAGGATCAGCTTTTCCAATAGAAGTCCTCCAGGAGGTCTATTCCCTGAAGAAAGAAAGGGAAGAATCAGGAATTTGAGTTCAGATTTTAGATGATAGCATGTTCTACCAGAGGTCACATAGATGGCCAGCACGGCCTACCGTGTAGCACAGGGGGTGGTCCTCCGTGTCCTGTAACATCCTGTGTGGGGAAGGAGCCTGGAGGAGGAGGTACGTGTGCCTGTGTACCTGAATCACCTTGCCGCATGCCTGAGACCGACATGACAGTGCAACCCAGCTCCACTCCGACGTAAATGAGAACCGGAAGACGACAGTGTGTTGATCCCCTAACAGGAAGCTGTTTTTCTGCCCCGCAGGAGGCCGATCTGGATGCAGAGTTGGGGAACTGCCAGCACTACATGCAGTTTGCAGCCGCCGCCTACGGGTGGCCTCTCTACATCTACAGGAACCCCTTCACGGGGCTCTGCCGGGTCGGCGGGGACTGGTAGGTCGTCCGAGACCTCCATCCTCCCTGCTGAGGTCGCTTGCTGCGGTGTCCAGACTTTATTTTCTAAAGATAACCACATTCCCCTTTTCTAAAACCTTCTTCCTATTGTGAAATATTTCAGAACTGGAAGCGCAGTACTGATAACTCCCGCATCCTATATCTGGAGCCACCAGTTGCAGCTCACTCTTGTCCCGGGTGCTATGTCACTGTCTCTCCATAAATATACACGCCCCCACCTCCCCCCCAGGAAAAAACCATCAGAGACTGAGTTCTGGACCTCATGCCCCCCCCCCCCCATTACTTCAGCTTGTATTTCTTAAGAACAAGGTCTCTCTTTGACATATATTACAGGACAAGTGGAAGATTCAGGAAATTCATCATCTGCTGTTGTAGTTTTCTAATTGTCCCAGTAACACCCTCTGCACCACATTTTCTTCCTATCCAGATCGTGTGTTGCACTTCGTTGTCATGCCTCCTTAGTCTCCTCCAGTTTGGAGCGACTCCTCAGGCATTTGTTTGTATCTTTCATGATACTGACGTTCTGAAGAGGACAGTCTCGTACATCACAAGACTGTGTTCACTCTGCCTTTGTCTCGTGGTTTCTTCTTGAATGGTTCAGGTTACACTTTTTTGGCAGGAATGCTCCATGTGGAGCATGTATCCTTCTCAGAACCTTGTATCAGGCAATGATGCCGGATTGTCCATTCTTGGTGAGGTTAGGGTTTCTTCCCATCCTTGTCGCTTTATTTTTCGAACACGGGAAGTATTACTGGGGTTCCAGACTCTACTAAGAAGCGTACACAAGAAGTATCATTTGAAGGCCGTTAGAAGGACTTCCCTGCTGGTCCAGGGGTTGAGAATCTGCCTTGCGATGCGTGGGACGCAAGTTCAATCTCTGGTCAGGAAACTAGATCCCTCGTGCTGTGGAGCAACCAGGCCCTGGCACCACAACTAGAGAGTCGCTATGCCCCAGCAAAAGATCCCTCACGACACAGCTAAGGCCCAGTGCAGCCAAATAAATGAATAAATGTCTTCAAAAAGCCATTAGAGGTTAGCCAGACGGAGCGTGAATACTGTCTGCGAAATCCTCGCTATTGCTGGGGGATGGGCAGGCAGGCTGGGTCTCCCGGGCACACCCGCGACACCTCTGCCCCATTCCAGCTGCAGACGCAGGACCACCGACTACGACCTGGTCGGAGGCGATCAGCTCAACTGCCACTTCAGCTCCATCCTGCAGACGACGGGGCTGCAGCACCGGGACTTCATCCACGTCAGCTTCCACGACAAGGTAGAGTGGGCTGCGCCTTCCCCTGGGTTCTGTGAGGTTCTGGGGGAGGTCACACATGAGTCCCCTGGGAAAATGTGTGGAGTCACGGACACACGCTCACCCCCAAATTCTGCATGCTGCTTCGGCGGGTTCCTGGGCGCCCGCAGCGCCCACCCCGGGTCAGCGTGAGATGGGGCAGACAGCTTCTGATGAAGAACTGTGAGCTGCACTTGGCAGGTGCCCCACACAGGTGCCGGGGGCTAGTCACTCACGACTCTAGGTCTGGCTCTATGCTCTTCATGCCGGACAGCGGGCCTCGCACTCGGGAGAGTCTCCGAGTCGCCGGGCAGGTTGGTGAACCCGTAGCGGCCTGGTGCCAGGGCTGTCCTTTGCAGCTTCGTGGCCCCCTGGGTGGTCCGTAGCAGCACGGGGAGCCCAGAACCTCGGGGAGCACAGCGGCTCATGCCTGCCGTTCAGGAGAATCTCCTGGAGAGCTTTCCCATCTCTGGAGCCCAGGCCACAGCCGTGCTGTGGGAGCCTGGCTCAGGAGGAGCCCCCACAATTGCAGCGCACAACTTGAGCCCGTGGGCTCCCACACGCCAGCACTGGAGACTCACCTGGGGTGTGAGAACATCTCACACCATGCTACTGAGATGAGAGTGCCCCGGGGCGTGTTCTCACGTCACGCCAGCACTGGAGACTCACCTGGGGTGTGAGAACATCTCACACCGTGCTACTGAGATGAGAGTGCCCCGGGGCGTGTTCTCACGGCCCCCGTGAGGCTACTGTCCTGCTTGGTGCGGGCGCCCGGAGCCCCCAGTGATGACTGCCGCTCCGTGATCACCGGTGACAGAGCCGATGGGCTTAAAGAAGGCAATTTTCCGCAGAAGGCTCATGTCTTCTCTGGGGGCTCTTTCAAGACACCCCCACACCGCCAACATGTAGAGTCCCTCTCCAGGGGATCCGGGGAGGTGAGACTGTGCTGGCTGCGACACACGCCCGCTCCCCAGGCACAGGCACTGTCCCCTGGTGTCCGCAGTGCTGACCTCCTGCGGGTGTCTCCCCGGCCCGCGCGCCAGCGGAGGACCGAGTGCCGGGCGGATGAGGGCGCCTGTGCTGACGCCCGTCCTCTCTGCGCCCAGGTGTATGAGCTCCCCTTCTTGGTGGCCCTGGACCACAGGAAGGAGTCGGTGGTGGTGGCCGTCAGAGGGACCATGTCTCTGCAGGTATGGGGCCCGCCTGCCCGCTGCGGAGCGAGGGGGGTGCTCGGCCCAGAGCCGGGAGACCCAGCTTCCCGGGATCAGATGGGAGGCCTCCGTGACAGCGCCCGCCCCAGGGAGGTGGGCCCAGGGTGTGAGGTGGGCCCTTTGGAAAAGCAGATGAAGCCTTTTCCTTCTCACCGAGAAACGCTGGAGAGGCAACACCGGCAGGTGGGGCCCGCAGCTCCCGGGGGAGCACCCGCTTGACTCCCCAGGCCCCTAACCCAGGTGACCCTCCCCTTTCTTCTGCACCCAAAGCTGGAAAGAATCGTAAGTGAAGTCATGCAGTCGAAAGTCTCCCCTCTCTGGGCACCCGCGGGCCGACCGTGTCCCCCCTCCAGTGTCCAGGCTCGACCGCCCGTGGGTCCCTCGGGCATGTCCTGGCACTTGCCCCCGCTTCCCCGCACCAGCAGCCTCCCCCCAAACTCCCCCCTGCTCTTTCAGGACATCCTCACAGACCTGTCCGCAGAGAGCGAGCCCCTCAACCTGGAGTGTGAGGTGCAGGACTGCTGGGCACACAAGGTGAGGCGGGGCGTGAGGCCGGAACGTTCCATCGGGGCTCCCAGGGGTCGGGGCGGCTTCCCCTCCAGGTCTCTCTGAACACTTCTGTGTGGCAAAGGCTGCTGCTGCCCAGTGCCATCTGGCACGACCCCCCCGAAGCCCTGGGGGGTTCCTTTTGATTTTTAAGAGAAAGAAGCAGGTTCACAGCGACTGAGTAACTTGCCAGCAGCCACACGCTTACTGGAACAAGTGTCAGAGTGGGCATCTCAGTGCTTCTCTTCCTGTAACTAAGGCAGTCCTTTCTCACGGTGAAGAAAGCGTCAGTGCAGGCAGACCCCCCCCACCCCCTCCTGAGAGGCAGGACGCCCCACAGTCCCTCCTGAAAGGAAGACCCCCTCACAGCCCCTCCTGAGAGGCAGGACCCCCTCACAGCCCCTCCTGAAAGGAAGACCCCCTCACAGCCCCTCCTGAGAGGCAGGACCCCGTCACAGCCCCTCCTGAAAGGAAGACCCCCCCACAGCCCCTCCTGAGAGGCAGGACCCCTCACAGCCCCTCCTGAAAGGAAGACCCCCTCATACACTCAGCACGTCCTGCAGGTCCTTCCACAGTTTGCGATGTCACAATACCAAGTTCTTGTTTCACTGTGACAGTGCTCTATGGGGAGGANCCCCTCACAGCCCCTCCTGAAAGGAAGACCCCCTCACAGCCCCTCCTGAGAGGCAGGACCCCTCACAGCCCCTCCTGAAAGGAAGACCCCCTCATACACTCAGCACGTCCTGCAGGTCCTTCCACAGTTTGCGATGTCACAATACCAAGTTCTTGTTTCACTGTGACAGTGCTCTATGGGGAGGAAGCGGGGTGGGGCGTGGGAGCCGCCAGCCCCTGGGAACCCCCATTTTACTGTCTGCGAATTTGCTTGCTTTACGTTCCTCACGTAACTGGAACCATATCTGTCCTTCCGTGACCGTCTTACTGCACTGAGCATAGAGTCCTCAAGCTTCACTCAGGCGGCAGCGTGTCGGAATTCCCTCTGGCTGCCGTGAGGAACACGGCAGTGAACACGGTGTGCAGTCCCTGCCCTCAGTTCCGGGGGATCTACCCGGAAGCCAGGTGGCTGGGTCACCTGCTGTTTCTCCGTGGAAGGTTTTGAGGAACGCCCACGCTGTCGTCCAGCACAGCTGCACCATGTCACATCCCCGCCAGCAAGCTATGTGGGCTCCCATTTCCCCACATCCTCACCGAGACTTTTCTGACGGAGCCACCCTCGTGGGGGGTGAGGTGGCGTCACTGCGGTTTCGCTTTGCTTTCTCCTGATGACTGACGAGGCTGCAGATGGAGGGGCGTCCGGAATGGTTCCCTAACGGTCACCCCTGAGGAATCGGGGTGGAGGGCGCTGGGCTTGTGTTGATCTTCTACATTCAGGGTGATTTTTAACCAAAATGTATTGCTCCTGTAGTAGTCACTTTTTAAATAGCATGCGTAATTTTTGTAAAAGTGTATGTTACTGCCAGAGCGCGGCTACTGGTGGCTGAACCCCAGCGTCCTGTCTGGACAGCTTGTTTCCTTCCAGGGTTTTCTGTTGTTGTTCTTACTGTTGTTTCGGGGTTTCTTTTTGTGTGTGTGCCCGGACACTCCAGGGAAGACCCAGGGCGGAGGAAGCTTTTGGACTTCGTTCTGCCACCAGTTAGGAGCTTGCCAGTCCTGGGAATGTGAATCCTTTTCCTTTAACCCTTCGTTGTCTTTTTGCCCTGAATTTCACAGGAAAGTCCAGTTTAATTATTACTAGATGGGCGTGAAGGAAAATAAGAAATTTAAGATTTATTATAGAGACCTATCAACTAGCCAGCTACCCTCAGAGGCTAGCGGGCTTGGTGTCTTGGCGCTGTTCTTAGAGTTTGAGCCGCAGACCCAGGTTTTGTGCTGCGACACTGCAGGCCTGACTGGCTCTCAGCCGAGGCCGCCGCCTCCAGCTTTTCATCCAGCGGCAGCTCCTGCCCTCCAGCTGGGAGGACAGCTTCTCAGGGGCTGCGGGTGGGAGCTGCTCCCTGCTCTTGGCCTGGGCAAGAGTTCTGGCTCTGACACTGTCCAGGCCGTGTGGCAGAACACCCTCTTGGCGTGTCACCCGTAACGCCTGTGCCAGGGAGACCTGCCGCCAGCCAAGTTGTGGTCCGGATGCCACGTGACTCTGGCTACCCACGGCAGACAGCTGGTGGGTGCCTAGCCGGCGGAAGTATTGCAGCGCGTGGTAGGCGGGGGAGTAAAGGGAGATCTGGCCGGTGGCCCAGACCTACTGGCTTCTCACAGGTGATGCTGGAGTCTGTGTTGTGCTCACAGGGCTATAGAGTCCAGACTCGGGAATGTGCAGTAGCTTGAGGCACCAGCAGAGCAGTCCCGTCTCGGGTGGAATCTCCCCCGCTCATCCTCTCGGGGACCAGGCTGCCAGGGCTGGAGGACAGGCCCGTCCTGTGCTGTCACGTAGGAAGCGTCCCGAAAACTATTCTGGTTGACAAGGTTGTCCCTCCTCAATTGGAACTACTCAATTTTCAAGAAGTCTGTTTGGTGGACAGCTGTTTTTGTTAGGAAGTTGTGCTTTATTTTTGGAAATGAAAGACTGACCTTCCTAGAATTCCCTTCCGATGGTTTCAGTGTGGCTTTTGTCGGAACGGTGGCTGCTTCGTCACTGTCTGTGATTTCAGAATTTTGTTTTAACATCATCTTAAAAGATCAGTCGTTTATAATCTAAACCTGACCAACCCTGGGAACTTGGCGAAAGTAAATTGTGGGACGTCCATACAGCAAAATGCTGTGCGGCTCCAGGAAAAGCCATGGAGACATCCACTGACTCGGAAAGCTGTTCCTGAGGCCTCCTCTTGGTTGATGGAAATACCTCGAGCCCCTGCTTTGCACTGGGCTCCGCACCAACTGCCAGGAACACAGCAGTGCGCAGTCGATGAGGCCGCTGGTCCCAGGGTGGCCGTCCTGTCCAGGGGGACCGAGTCACAGAGGGGGGCCCGTGCGGTCCTGCCGCACCCGACAACCAACAGCTCCCTGTGTCTGCACCTGCAGGGCATTTCTCAGGCCGCCAGATACGTCTACCGCCGACTTGTCAACGACGGGATTCTGAGCCAAGCGTTCAGCATCGCACCGGTGAGATTCTAGTTCTTGTGTTTTCGCTTCCTCTGGCGTCAGCCGTCTGCTCTCTCGGCCGTCACCCACTCTGCTCTCGCCCCCAGGAGTACCGGCTGGTCGTCGTTGGGCACAGTCTGGGCGCGGGCGCCGCGGCGCTGCTGGCCCTCATGCTCAAGAGCCTGTACCCGCAGGTCAGGTGCTACGCCTTCTCCCCACCCAGGGGGCTGCTCAGGTACTTTTCCTTCACTTACAAGCGATAAACTGGTACTTTATCCGCAACGGAGTTAGTTTCTCATCCTCAGGAGGAGTTTGTGTCAAAGGATCGCTGGTTGAGAAAAGACGGGCCAGCTTTCATGGGTCTCTGACCACAGCTTTCATCTCCTAGGTGACGCTGTGCTGAGACCCATTTTTCAAACTGAGCTGGTATTAGTTACGGGTGTGAACACGATTCCATGTTTGTATGTGCTGTGAACTGATCACAGGAAGTCTAGTCAACATCTGTCCTCGTAAATAGTTACAGAATCCTTTCTTCCCTAGATGAGAACTGAAGGTTTACTTTCTTAGCAGCTTTCAGATACGCAGGATAGTATTGTTAACTGTAGGGGCTGTGCGTTACCTCCCAGGGACTTGGTTACTTTATAACCAGCAGTTTGCACCTTTTATTTCGCCCACCTCTCAGCTCCCTCCCTCTGCCATGCCTCTCGGCCTCTGACAACCAGCAGTCTCCTCTCTGTGTGAACTTGGTTTGTGTTTCCGGTTTTCACATCTAAGTGAGCCCATACAGTATTTGTCTTCCTCTCTCTGACCCATTTCACTGAGCATACTGTCAAGGTCCAAACATGGTGTCCACAAGTGGCAAGATTTTGTTCTTATTTTTTAGGTTAAGACAAAGTAGAACATGTTTATTATAAGCATTACTGGTTAAAAATACACACTAAAGTTGCTTACAGTAACAGGCCTGTTGATGTGAACAAAAGCAGAAATTTTTTGCTTTTGTTAGGTTTTAATTGGAGGATGCTGATCTAGTGTTGCGTTGGTTTCTGCCGTACATCGACATGAAGGATTTCATTGTTTTTTATGGCTGAGTAGTATTCCGTTTTACACACACACACACACACACACACCCCTTACCTGTTTTATGCATTCATCCATTAGTGGATAATTCCGTTGTTTCCGTGTCTCAGCTACTATAAACAATGCTACAGTGAACGTGGGGGTGCAGGTATCTTTCAAGTGTCTTTGTTTTCTTTGGATAAATACCTTGACGTAGAACTGCTGGGTCATTTTTTGAGAAACCTCCTTACTGTTTTCCACAGTGGCTGCACCAACTTATATGCTTACCAGCATCACGAAGTCACACCCTTTTCTCCACATCCTGGGCAGTGCTTGTTAGTTCATGTTTTTTTTTTTTTTAATTTATTTATTTATCTGGCTGCACTGGGTCCTAGCTGTGGCATGTGGGATCTAGTTCGCGGGCCAGGGATTGAACCTGGGCCCCTTGTGTTGGGAGCGTGGAGTCTCAGCCCCTGGACCACCAGGGAAGCCCTTTCCCTTGCTTTAAAAAACAGCTTGAGCACTTGTATCCATGTCTCTACATGGATAGTTTGGATTTGCATGATTTTGAAATTTAGAACAATGGAATTCTACTTTTTGTCACTTCTTTTATTTCACATATTTGATGCCTTAAAATGTTGTTGTGTAAGTGCTCGTTACGTTTCATCGTGTATCACAGACCACCCGTCTGTTCTGCTGGTGGACACTGGGCTGTGCCGGCTCCGGGTAGTGGCTGCTCCTGTTCACACCAGGAGCACCAGGGTGCATCGCGCTCCACATTCTCACCAGCACTTCGCAGTGTCAGGTGTAAACCTTTTCCCCGCCTGATGGGCGGGCAGCGGTGTTGCATTGTTTAATTCACATTTCCACGATGAAGCTGCATCTTTCCATATATTTATCATCTCCACTCTCCCGAAGTTCCTTTCGTCCGTTTCTCTGTGTATTTTATTTTTGCATTGTGTTCCTATTCAGTACACCCAGTTGTTCATGTGTTATACATACTCTCACTCTTTGATGTCTTTTTAAGTCTTCAGCTTACTAGTTCTTAATTTTAACACTGATCTGTCATTCTTATGATTTCTGGGTCTCTTTTATTTAAGAAATCTCTGTCCTAAGGATGCAGAGCTAGTCTCCTGTCATATCTTTTAAAAGCCTTTTAGTCTGGCCTTTCACATTTAGGTCTGTGATCTGTTTAATTTGGTGGTTTTGTGCATAGTATGGTTCAGTTTCATTTCCTCCCCTCACAGCAAGTGCATTATCTCAGCACGGTTTCACTAAGAGCCCGCCCTTCCCTGGTGCTGACACGCAGCGCCACTCCTGCCCATAGGAGGCGTCCACGTCCACACTTCCCTGGCTTCCTCTGACTGTTGACGACACCACACTGGGTTAAGGACCTTATTTATCTGCCCAGTGTTGACACCTAGGACTTTCTAAGCAAGTTGCTGTAACTGCAGTCTCATTTCTCTCCTCCTT